CCTGTGATAGGGGCTCAGGGGGACTTGCCCGAGGTCACGCAGGGCGCCAGCAGCAGAGCTGAGGTTGCAACCAGACTCCATGCCCTAACCACTGGGTGCTCGCTGTCCCCGCGCCGGCCCCATTCCGTGTGCTGCTTTGTGTGTGTTGTGCTTATTGGCCAGCGGGGGTGGGGGTGTGCGCTGAGGAGCCAGAAGGCAGCCTGCCCTGATGGCCGACGAGGTGGGGGGTGTCACGCAGAGCTCCTGCACCCCCTGCTCTCTGTGCGACCCGGGCTCTCTCTGCACCTCAGCGTCCTCGTCTGCAGTGGCTCCATAGCCCCGCCATGGGGAGGGGTGTGAGGTGCTCCGTACAGGCACACGGTGCTCGGGGGACCCTTCTGAATCAGCCAGGACTCTGGGACACCAGGGCAAACGGGCCCCAAGTCCAGAAGGGAGTGGACCGGCTCACAGAACTGTACAGAAGCACAGAGGGCGGACCCGGGATCCGGGTGCAGCTGGAGGGAGCGGTCGGACCATATGGTCAGGATCCTGCCTCTCCCCAGCCCTGGCCCCAGCCTTCCTTGGAGTTGGCAAAAATCTCAGGCCACCACAGAGGCAAGATGGCCATTAGCGCCTCCGGGTGTCCAGGCGGTGCCAGCTCGAGGGCTGGGTCCACCTGGGGTTTTGTGTGCGTCCTGAGCCAGTTACAGCGGCTGGGGGATGGTGTCCCGGGTTGGCCAGGCCCGGGCCTCTGGCCTCTCCTGAGATCCAGGGGGAACTGGGAGGCACCTCGGCAGGAACAAGTGGGGCTGCGTCCTGAAGAGCGAAAGCCCACCCTCCAGCCCCACCCCAGCGTGGCCACACCCGAGTCCCTCTCCCCAGATGATGCCTGGGCACCAGGTGCAGCCACCACCCCCTGGGGTAATGTCAGGACAGAAGTGCTCACTTTACAGCAAAATTACTTACCTAATTAGGCGCTAGGGAGCTGGCAGGAGGAGGTGGGGGTTTGTTGACTTTTTTTAGACTTTTAGCCCTGAAGCCACCTGATAAAATAACTGTGTAATTAGGAATTAAAATTTTCTCACTCCTGCAAGTGATGTCTTACTTGGGGCCTGAGGAAAGTCAGCCCAGTTGTTCTTTGCTCACCGTGGCCCCTCTTTGCCCCCTTTTTTTGGGGGGGGTGGGACACTCCCACAGCTGCCCTCCAGGGCGAGAGGAGGAGGAAGGCGGCAGGAGAGGGCAGGCTAACACCTCCACAGGTGTTACGCTCCTGGATTCCCTCGGTGCCTACTGTGTGCGGCCGGGCTGGTGCCGGGGCGGGAGGCTGTGCCTGAGGAGGAGAGGGGCTCGGCCGGCCTTCAACCAGTCTGTGGATGATGCGGCAGCCCCCTGCCCTCACTGGTCCAAGTCTGGGGACCCCATGGTCTCTCAAGGGTCCTGCTGGGATGGCACCGCCTTGTCCACAGCGGTCACCTGCTCACGTACAGCCCGTCTCTGATTTTCCTCCCTCCCCCCTCCCTCGCTGTGCTTCCTGGGATCTCCTCCCGGATAAACTGCTGCTCCCAAGTCCTTGGCTGTGTGAAGGAGCCAGAGCAAAGAGGGCGAGCTCGTCCCAGGCTGCGGGGAGGGCCTGGGCAAGGCTTCCTGGGGGAGGCGGTCTGCAAGGAAGGGTGAGGGTGAGGAGAAAGGGCACTGAGCAGAGAATGGATGGGGGGCAGAGAGGAGCACGTTTGGGGAGCTCGGCGGGCCTGGTAGGGTGCCTGGGAACCTGGGGTAGGAGCAGGGTTGGGGGGAGGGGACGGATGCAGGCAGGAGGGCCTTGAAGGCTGTGGCCAGGGGCTTGGCCTTTGATCTGAGCCAATGGGGAGGCAGTGAAGGTTTAACTTGGGGAGGGACACAGCTAGATTGGAGTCGTGGAAGGTTTTCTCCTGCTGAGGATGGGCTGTGGGGGGAGGAGGCAGGAGGCAGGAGACCAGCGGGGAGGCTGCTGCAGCTGTCGGGAGAGAAGGATGGTGACCGGACTCGGCCGGCCGGGGGTGGAGGAGCTGTCCGTGGACTGTCCCATGCTGGGCTCGTTGGTGCACGGAGTCACCATCGGGGTGGTGTGCTTCCCAGGGCGCAGAGGAAAACCCACAGTTCTTACCTCCCGGCTGCATGCTCTCCCCCTTGCCTCTCCCCAACCTCCCCAATCTAGTGTATCCGCTTCCTCTTAGAGAAGGAGAATTTTAGCAGTTTCCTTTGTGCACCTCCTGTGTGCTCTTTATCACTGAATGCATTTGCACCCAGTCTTGTTCCCCAGACAGGAGAGGCAGGTGCAGCGAACACCCCCAAAAGGTCCACGGAACGTGGGAGTTAGAACCTGGGAGAAGAGTTTAGGCAAATGGATTCCCTGGAAGGATCCACAGCGCTAAGATCTTTCCTGCTGCTAAGGACTCAGTGATTCATCCTGTTTCCCCTGTTGACTTGACTGCCAGGAAGCTCAGACAGAGCTAATATCTTGACACTAAATTCTCCAAGGAATTTCCCTTGGGGGGCTTTTCAATGGATGAGGTCTTGGGAAGTTTTGCAGAAGGTGTGTTCCCACCCTACAGACCTGGAGGATCAGGTCAGGGGTAAAGGGCAAGGGCCAGCGTGGGTGCCCCTCATTTAAACAAGAGCTAAGAGGCCCAGACTGTGGGCCATGGGTTCTATGAGGAGGGACGTGGAGCCCGTGCAGCAGTGTGGGATGGGGCATCAGATACCAAATAGGGTGGTCCTGAGGGCTCCCATAGCAGCTGTGCCCTGGTGGCTTGTGGCTGCGATCCACCCGGTCCAGGGGACCATGAACAGGGTTGATGTGGGATCCATGTAACGTGTGGGCACTCAAAGAGGTCAACGCAGGGTGAGAATGAGCACAGTGCCTGGCGGGCAGCCGCCTTCAGAAGCCGTTTGCTTTTTCCTGTCTAACCATCCTCTATGAAGCATCTATTTATTTTTGTTGTGAGACTTCATGGGGATGGGAACCAGTCCTGGTCTGGCACCTGCTGCAGCTCCGCGGGTGAGCCCTGGGGCTCTGGCACAGAGCACTGGGGTGGGTCCCATCGGCGTGCGCTGGGACCCCCGCCCTCCGGCACACTCAGCAAAGCAGGCGCTGAGCCTGGGGACCCAGCTCCTCCCAGGGCTTCCTGCTGCCCCGTTGGCAGGATGAGGGAGCCAGAGCGGGAGGAGGGGGGCTGCCGGTGGGGGCAGGGCGTGGGGGAGGGGCTGGCTGGAGCTGAGCCTGGCGCCTGCGGTGGGGTGGCGCAGTGGCTCTCTCTCCTAAGCCGGATGTGTGCACGCGCACACCCGTGTGAGCGTGCCTGTTTGTGTGCCCATGTGTGCCGCCCCCGCAGCGCCTTCGTCGCACAGACCCCCTCGGCTGCCTGGAGAGCTCTTTCTACAAAACATGAAAATGACAGTTTGGCTCACCCACGCGCGGAATCCTCATGTGGCTCTACTCCCCCGGTGCCCCCTTCTCGGATCATCCTCCGCCCTCACTGCCTGCCCCCCAAGGTCTCACCTCAGCCCGCTGCTCTGCCTGGCTGCGGCCGCTGGTGCCCCAGCTCCCCCCCCCCCCCGCCGCCTTTGATCCCCTGGGTCTCTCTCTGTAGTTCTAGGTCTCTGTCACTTTTTTTGGTCACGCCCCCTCATCTGAATTTGGGCTCTGGCAGGAGAGTGTGTTAATGAGGGTGCCCAAGGAGTGAGTGTGTGCACGCGCACCAATGGTTGTGTGCAGGTGCATGACTGTGTGTGCATGCGTGCATGTGTGAGCGTGTGTGCGTGTGTGCATGTGTGCGTGCGTGCGTGTGTGTGTGTGTGTAAGGGGGAGACGGGGTGTGGGGGAGAGAGAGAACAGAGCTACCGCCTGTGCCCCAGAAAGCGGTGGGGTGGATGAGGCATTTCAGGCAAAGGAAGCTTTCACTCAATTACTCTTCAAGCAGAGGGAGGGGGTGGCGGCTGTACAACAACCAGACAGGTTTGCATGTGTGTAGAAAAAGGCTTCATTTCCTGCTGATGGTGGTGACAGGTGGAGCTGGCAGCAGCCGCTGGAGCCCTGGGGTGCAGGCTGGGGGCGGCGGGGAGGGGTTTGGTGCTTTGGGGCACCGGGGTCAGGCTGGGTCAGCGGGGGGAGGGAGGCTGGCGGCAAGTAAGCAGGTGGGATCTGGTGGAAGAGGAGGGGACCACACGGGGACCTCAGAGACTTGCCTCCTGGGGAGACCTGGGGAGCCGTCCTGGGGGAGGTGGGCTGCAGCCACAGGGTGGTGGACTGGGCCGTTAGGTGGAGGGAAGGCCTGCCTGGTGAGCCCGCGGCCCGGCAACGGCAACGAGACCAGGGCAGTCAACGAGACCAGGGCAGTCAACGAGACCAGGGCAGTCGTGAGGGCTTGGGTGTTGTCTTTGCCTTTGAGGCTCTCCCCTGCCTGAGGGGGCGCCGCTGAGGGTAGGGGCTGATCCGAGTCATTCTTGGGTTCGCTTTCATCTACGCTGGCTTGGTTCGGGGAGGACCGTGGTGGGGAAGAAGCTCCGGGACTGCAGGGGCAGCTGCACGGAGCCTCGAAACGTCGATAGGGCTTCAGCAGACAGAGACGAGGGTGGTGATGTCCAGTGGCCCCCTGGGGGCAGCCCAGCGATCTTGGCTTCTCAGTCCTCCCTCTGGGGAAGGGGCCGACCCTCCCTTTTCCAGAGGCTGCTCTGGGAGTGGGGACAGGGCCACCTGGCCCAGTGCGGGGACACACAGTGGGGACACAGGGTCTCTGCTCCTCCATTCCCTCTGCCCCAGCAACAACCACCGATCCTCAGGACAGGCTAGGAGGGCGGTGTCACCGCGCCTGCCCCCAGAGGAGGAGACAGCCCGAATTCTGACCTCCTTTTCCTACCTACCCCTCTCAGGCAGGCGTGGGCACACGTGGGTGGGTGTGGGTGGCCAGAGACCTCGGTGGTCTGGCCCGTGGCCTTGCCTTCTCTCCTGCCGCACCCCCCACATGCTTCCCTTTTCTCCACAGGATGGTGGAGTACTCGCTGGACCTTCAGAACATCAACCTGTCGGCCATCCGCACTGTGCGTGTCCTGAGGCCCCTCAAAGCCATCAACCGTGTGCCCAGTGAGTTGGTGCCCCTCCCCCCACCCCTGGCCCACAGAGACACCCGTTTACTCAGAAAAGACTGGCCAGAACCTTTCAGTGCCGGGCCTGTGCTGGCCACGGGACCTCTCGGTGGCCGGACGGAGATTGGCCCTGCTCTCATGGGGCTCATGGGTCCTGTGTGAGCCTGAAGATGCTGGAGGGTGGCTTCGATGCCAAGTTGCCAAAAAACTTGGCCGCAGCGTGCTGGGGAGCCTGGCTCTTCAGGAGCAAGGTTCCTTGGGGGGAGGTGCTGTCACGGCGAGCAAGGTACGGAGAGGGGCCGCTCCGGTTGAGGGAGGACACTGGGCAGCGTTCACCAAGGAGAGGACCCCCAGACCCCTCGCCTGTGCTGAGTGACTTAGGACTAGAGCTCTGTTACCTACCTGCACGTGACAGGTGTGCACGTGCTGGGCTGTGCGCCCGTGGGAAGTGTGTGCACCTCTGAGGGTGTGCGTGCGTGTGAGGGTGTATCAGGGTGTCCAACCTTTTGGCGTCTCTGGGCCACACAGGAAAAAGAGGAATTGTCTTGGGCCACACGTTAAATATACAAACACTAACGAAAAATGAGCAAAATTAAGATTTTAAGTAAATTTACAATTTTGTGCTGGGCTGCATTTGTAGCCATCCTGAGCTGTGTGCAGCCCGTGGGCTGTGGATTGGATACACCTGCATGTGAACGTATGAGGGTGTGCACATGGGTGTGTGTACACATGTGAGGGTGTGTGTACACATATGAGGGGCATGTGCATGTGGCAGTGTGTGCGTATGTAAGGGCATATATGCATGTGAGAGCATGTGCTTGTGAGCGTGTGCACATATGAGGTGGTGTGCACATGTGGGTGGGGTGGACATGTGTCACATGCGCACATAAGGGAGTGTGGGCACATGTTCCCCCGTCCCCCTCTCCCACTATGTGAGAGCTCATTATCTGGCTCCTGGCTGTGGAGGTCACTTCCAAGCCCCTAGCGCCTGCCTGCCTGGTTCTCCAGAGAAGGGCAGGATGGGCCCTGTGCTCCGTCTTGCAGGGCGGGAGAGCCAGGGAGTTCGGGTCCCTCCTCGGGGGCCTCCTCCCTGCTAATAGGCAGCAGCGCTGGGAAGCCGGGCGGAGGAGTCGAGAGTGCCGTCTTCCGCTCTGAGCTGACTCCCCCTCTCAGCTGGCAAACGAGCCTTGTTCTCAGAAACTGGCGTGGGGATTGTCGAGAGCAGGAACACTCTGGAGCGCAAATTATAACCAGGGTGCCCCTCCCCCGACTTAGAGACTTCCTGCTGCTCCCTCTGGACAGGGGACTTAAGGTAGATTCATGTTCCTGAGTAACAATTAACAGGACCCTCAGGAAGTCAGAGCAGGTCCGTTGACCCAGTTTCCCCTCCACGGAAGGGGCAGCGTGGTACCCAGGTGCCATGCCCTCTGTCTAGAGTCACCAGGGAATGAGTGACATGGGGACACAGGCTCTCTGAAGTGCTTCCTAGAGAGGTTTGGTTGGTTGCCTTCTTTTTTCTAGATGTTTCCCTGAAACATTTCACATCCTCTCCTGTATCTTTAGAGCTGCTTTTACCCAAAGACTTATTTCTTTTCAACAATAGCCTGTAGCTTTCCAGTTCGCCACTAGATGGCAGGCTGGAGAGTTGTGAATAGGCAAAGTCAAATTATAGGTTATTAGTTACAAAGCTGTGGAGAGTGGGGTGGTTGCCCGCCGTTTCAAAAGTAGCTTAAAAACACAACCAACCAGGAAGACTCAGTTGGGTCGTCTGGGAATGCAAGTTCTGGTTTTCGGCTGTGTCAGGAGCATGCCGTGTGAGCTGGGAGGTCTCTTAGTGTCTCTGGGCCTCAGTTTCCCCACTTGCCCAAAGCAGGAGGAAGGGCTCGATTAGATGCATGGTTTTAAACTTTGTCCAGGGTGGGTGGGGGACCTGGAAGTCACAGTGCTTTTTGCCCCATGAAATGTGTCCCTCCAACGCCCCCCCCAACTCCCCCACCGCAGGTCTCTGACTGCTGAGCCGCTGACGGGTAAAGGGAAGGAGACAGGATGGAGGAGGAGGCTGGGGAGGGAGGGAGGAAGCACCAGACATTGAGCCAGGAGGCTGGGTTCTGATTGCTTGCTGAGTGACCTTTCATACGTCACTAGTCTTTTCTGAGTCTTGGCGAGATGGGGCTGGATTATCTCTAAAAGTGCCCCCTTCTGGCACCAGCTGACTCCAGCTCTCGCCCGGCCCACACACCCCTTAGGCCTGTGCAGTGCCTCCCAAAGCCTGCTGGCCAAGCCGTTTAACTATGATAGGGTTTTTTTCCCTCTCTCTCTGTCTATCCAGTGAGAAACTAGGGCAATCACTGCTAAGGCCTGAGCCAGCTGAGCCTGAGCTGCTGGCCCACATGTGCACCCGGGCACAGCACGCCCTGGTCCGGGCTGTGGAGGGGGGAGGAACAGAGGCCTGGGGAGCTCAGGGGAGGTGGGGGTGGGGAGATGCTGAGTCTGGCCTGGGCCACTGCCCACCCCGCAGAACCTGCCCAGCCACAATCCCGGGTTCAGCAAGAACTCACCTCAATGCAGGGGCCTCTGGGCGGGGCCTGGGATGGGGCGGTGCAGAGAGGTGGAGACGCCGAGGACAGAGCAGCCCAGAGCTGTCAGTGCTGTGGGGAAGGCTGCTGTCGGTCCCCAGCTGCGGGACCAGGAGCTGGAGGTGTGCTCTGCACTGACAGGTCCTGGGTCTCATCCCTTTACTTGCCTGCTCCTCTCGGGGCCTCAATTTCTCCTGCGATAAAATGGGGTTAATGACACCCCTTTCTGTGTAGTTTGGTACGGATGAGATACCCTAGTGTGGGTCAAAAGCTTAACCTCGCATGCAGCGAGTGGTCAGTCGGTGCTCCTGTTATGAAGAGGTGCTGGGGACATCGAGGGTGGAGGGGGCGGCATCGTGGCCTCTTTGCAGAATCTGGATTTGGAAGACGCTCGCCAAGTGCACAGGGGATCGGGAGGGTGTCCACAGAGGACAACCCCCCCCTCATGCAGAGGTGAGAGGAGGAACCAGCTTGGGGACAGTGTGGCTGGACAAGGCTGTGGGTGGGCAGAGCGGTAGGTGACTTCCCAAATCTTCCAGAGAAGTACTAGTAATGAAAAATGGCTAAAATTTATCAGGTGCTTACAACAGACCCATCACGGTGCTTTACACAAGCAATATTGTATCTTCACAACAGCCCTAGGATACGGGCCCACTTTATAGGTGGGGAAACTGAGGCAGAGAGCACTTGAGTAACTTGCCCAAGGCCACACAGCTGGCTGGGGGCAGAGCCAGGATTTGAACCTGTGCTTGTACTGCCCCGGAGCTTTTCGCTCCTTTTCACGACCTCCTTTCTCTCCTTTTAGCCACCCAGCCCTTCTGCAGGGCACCCGGAAGGCCCCCTCCCACACCCAGGGTCAATGCATAGACTGAAATGATACCCTCAAGGCCCCCTCTGAATGCCTTGCACTGTCAGGGTGCAGGGTTCTCATGGAACTGGGTCCCGTGCAGCCTGACAGGGACAAGTCAGGGCTGGAGGCAGGACAGGGCAGGGCAGGGCAGGGCAGCGGTTAGCGCAGAGCGCGGCCTCCTATCTGCCCTGCCAGCACACAGAGCTTGGTCCCGTGTGCATTAGCTGCAGGGCCTGGGGAAAGAGTCTCTTCCTGCTTTGCTCCCCTGTCCGCCCAGCAGGAACAGCACACAGCACCTCCGTGTGGCGCATCTGCAGCGCCAGCACACTGCCCAACCCAGCTCTCCTCACGGGGAAGGGCCAGTGTCAGGGCTGTAGGCTGCAGCGTCCGGGGCAGGTAGACCAGGGTTTGTGTCTGGGAGCTTGCCCAGTGGCTTGGCTTCACCTCTCGTGCCTCAGTTTCCCCATCCCCGGCTAGACTGTGGGGCTTGCCCAGTGGAGTCTCACACTCCTGAGTGCTTGCAATTAGCCTTGCTGAGGATCACGGAGACTTAGAATTATTTGTGCAGCTGCGGAATCCTCGACTCTTGGTTTTAGAAGGAGAAGCCTCAGAACAGTTTGGTCCTGGGTGCACAGCATTTCCCACTGCCCATCACGCGGAGGGGCCCTGGACGCATGGCCAGCTCCTGGCCCTTGGGGCCCAGGTCTGCTCTGGCTCTTTCTGCCAGGTGCATGCTGGGACAGGCCAGCCATGCTGAGGATGGAGGAGGGAGGCCCCAGGACTTCTTCTTGGACTCGGTCCTGGGGGCCATGGATCGAAAAGGCAGTTGGGAGATGTGCTTTGAAACAGAGCTTGGTGAAATCTCCATATTTTCACTTGGAGATTTCACTTGTGTGTTTACTTGGAACTTGGAGGATATTAAAGGAGGCTCTGACCCCAGGCACACCTTGGACTTCAGGGCTATCTGTTCTCGGCTCCCAAGCCACCCTGTGGGAGAAAGGCCTGGAAGCTCCTATGCGGGAGGAAGGAAGGGAGGGAGGAAGGGAGGAAGGAAGATGGGGTGCAGAGGCCCGATTTCCCCAGGGAATTGGGCTTCCCTGAAGAGATGGAGGTGGGAGAGCATCTGGCCAGAGCATTTGGTGAGAGCCTGAGTCAGCAACAAGAAAAGAGCAGCCAGAACTGTGAAAGAAGGAGTGCTGGGAGGTGGGGCAGGGTGAAGGGAGACCCCCGACTCCCCAGGTCACATTCCCTGTACAAATTGGGGGGGGAGAAATTCCTGGGTGGGACAGCAGATCAAGGGAGTGGGCCAGTACATATTCATCCATCCATACATCCATCCACCTACCCACCCATCCAGCCATCCACCCACCCACCCACCCACCCACCCATCCAACCATCCATCCATCCATCCATCCACCCACCCACCCACCCATCCACACATCCACCCACCCATCCATCCATCCATCCAACCATCCATCCATCCATCCATCCATCCACCCACCCACACATCCATCCACCCACCCACCCACCCATCCACCCACCCACCCACCCACCCACCCATTAACCCACCCA